CCCCCAAAACCCCAAAACCCCAAAACCCCAAAACCCCGCGATATTATAAGATTTTTGAAAATTATATTAAATTAATTTTGAATTAAATGAACATGGATTTAAAAGACTTTGTAAGCATGGTAATTGTGTCTATTCTATCAAATATCTGATACATGGTAGTAGTTCCCTTTGTACCCCTTGAATTTAGTAGATATGATATCAAGCCATCCACTTTTGGGTACATATTTGCAATATTCTCTGTTGCTGCAATGATTGGTTCTCTTGTCATTGGTAAACTCATGATCATCTTCGGTAGAAAAGTCATCCTGCTTCTCGGAATCTGCTCCATGGGAGTCTGCATGTCGGTGTTCTCATCAATTGCCTACTTCGAGAACTCTACTCTGGTCGTGTTGATGTTGCTAGCTTCAAGATTTTTACAAGGGTTTGCATCCAGCATGATCCAGACGACGTGTTACGCAATCATCTCAGTTTGCTACGACGAAGACAAGCAGAAGTATCTTGGGTATTTCGAAGGAGCTCAGGGACTTGGATGCATGATAGGGCCAGCCATTGGAGCAATTCTGTACTCATTCTATGGATTTAATGGGACATTTTACTTCCTCGGAGGTTCATTGGTGCTGATGTGCCCTTTGCTTTATTTTCAAATTCCTAACACAATTAATAAAAACGATGACTTGGAAGAAGATATGATCAATGATGAAGTAATATTAGACAATAATCAAGTCATTCAAGATGTGCCTACTTATACTAGCTTATTAAAGAGAAAAGTGTTCTTGTTATCAGCACTATGAGGAGGGCTATCTTATGCATCTGTTTGTTACTTTGAACCTATCTTGCCAATTCGATTAAAAGATGTAGGACTTTCTCAAACTGCTATTCTCTATTTCTTTTGTATTGCTCCTTTCTCTTATTTACTATTAAGCCTAACTATTCCTTATTTAACGAGTAAGTTTACTCCAAAGATGATCATAACTACTACAATCTTCTTATGAGGAATTGGTCAGTTCTTCATAGGGCCAAGTCCCTTTTTACCAGACAACTTATTTTTGATGGCTTTTGGTCAATTCGCTCAAGGATCTACGAGCATTTTCTTCCTTATTCTAGCCTTGCCAGTTATGATCAAAGATGCTGAAGATAGGTATCCAACCTATAAGACATATGCTTCAGATTTATCTTCAGGAGTGTTTAACTTTAGTTTATCCCTCGGTCAGACTTTGAGTCCAATTTATTCAACAAATCTCACAGAAATTATTGGGTTTCAAAATGTGTGCACTACAGTAGCAATAGCCTTCATTGTTTATTCACTGATCTATTACATCTTTTGAATCGCTATAGTAGAAGAACCGAAAGAAATAGAATGAGAAATTGAGCTGGAGAGTCAAGGAGATGAATTACTAAAGGAGAAATCTTGTCAGTCAAGCAAAGGATAGATTAGCTCAATTAAGCTTTCACGGTAAAATATTGATATAAGACTTCGTGGATGATAGTTTAGCTATTTTTGGGATATTAAGTATTAATATCTTTCTACATTTTATTGGTTACCCGGGGTTTTGGGGTTTTGGGGTTTTGGGG